AGGAGTCAGCTCGGGGAGCAGGAGTGCATGGGAGAGAAGGACACAGGGAAGAGGTAACTATGGGGAAGAAGTGAGAGGGGAGCTGTTACATTGCCGGAAATTCCAGTCAATGTCATGAGACATTGTGTATGTGACATGCTGTATGGAAAATGACTTTGCTCTGTAAACTTTCACCCAAATCTCAATAATTTTTTAAAAATGTATAGCTTTTAGTCAGGGTTATTTAGAAATATACTAAATATTAATATAAGATTTCTCTTTTTAGGTGATGTTGAATGGAAAGAAACACAATTCTAATAAAGGAGAGGCATAAGATAGAAAGCAGTGCCTAGCTTTATAGTAAAATAAACAGTTTCTATCAAGTCAATTTCAACTCATGATAACCCACATAGGGTTCTGGGTAGCAAGAAGAATTGTTCTCCATAGGGTTTTCCATGGCTGAGTTTTTAGAAGTAGATCACCAGGGTTTTCTTCCAAGGTACCTCTTGTTAGACTCAAACCACCAATCTTTCTATTAGCAGCCAGTGCAGTAACCATTTGTACCACCCAGGGATCCCAGCACAAGAGTAAGCCTTTGTCATTAGTTGCCATCTAAAAAAACCAAAAACCAAACTCACTGCTGTCGAGTAGGATCTGACTCATAGCAACTCCTCCTTGGGTTTCCGAGGCAGTATCACTGTGGAAATAGATTACCCAATCTTCCTTCCGAGGAGTGGCTGGTGGGTTTGAACCACAGGCCTTCTGGTTAATAGTCAAATGCCTAGGCTCCTGGATGGCTCCAATTCACAGTGACCTTGTATATAACATAACAAAATGTTGTCTTGTTCTATGCCATCTTCATGATCGAAGGTACATTTGTATTCATTGTTGTGACTTTTGTGTCAATCTAACTCATTGAAGGCTTCTTTCCTTTCCCTAACCCTCTACTTTAAAAACCATATTGTCTTTTTCTAGAAATTGGTCTTTGCTGAATACCCTTGATATAAAACCAGAACCAAACTCATTGCTGACAAGTCAATTCCAACTCATAGTGACCCTAAAGGTAATGAATACTACCATTTTATTAGACTGTGATGTTGTTGTTGTTGTTAAGTGCCGTCGAGTCGTTTCTGACTCATAGCGACCCCATGCACAGCAGAACGAAACACTGCCCGATCCCGCGCCA